CCCCAAAACCCCAAAACCCCAAAACCCCAATAGACCCAAATATCTAAAATATAGTGTTTTAATGAAATAAAGATTTAATATATTAATTCTGAGTTGCAAAATTCCATATTGTAATCATTTGTATCTACGTCTCACACTAGGTCTATCTAATTAGTTCATTCCTTTATAGCCACCTTACTTAAGTTGAGTTTTAAAAGCAATATTATCTGAAACTCTATGTTAAGGATCAAAATTTGTAGTGTCCTCATTAGTTAAATGAGTCCATTTAGAGTTGCCCTTTTTACCCATATCGCCTCTTCTCTTTTGCAAGACAGCTGGCAGTACACTCTTGTCCATTTTATCTTCGCCTACAGGCATATTATAATCTCTTTGAAATATATCGGTGGCATCTTGGCGATCTTGGAAAAAGGCTCCCTTATGATAATACTTCTGCATAAAACCATAGGCTACATTTTGCTTCTTGTTTGTATGATCTGAGCCCAATCTTCTATTCTCCTCCTCTCTTTCGGCATCAGTCATTCTGCGACGTCTTTCAATCTCTTATTTCTCGAATTCCCTTTATTGCTTCTCTTCCCTATCTCTTTTGATTCTCAATAGTTCTCTCATCTTCCAAGATTCATATGCGATTTGTGAATTCAGGTAATCTCTATCTTCAAAGTCAGTCTCTTCAAAGGGTAAATTGGCATCACTATCATATTAATCTACTGCCTCTTGATCCTTAAAAGTCTACTCTTTCAAGATTGATTCAGCCACTAGCTACTTTGTGTATTGTTTCCTTTCCTCTTTTTGTTTTCTCAGGAATTCATCTTATTCTATCTGCTCTTAATAAACTTTATCCTTATCACCATAGACATCTCTGTCAGTGCGACTCACAAAAACAGGTTTCAGTAAGGGTTAAACATTTTACTATTCAGCTTCGTTCTCCTGATCTGCATCTTCATCAGAATCATCATTTCCTTCGTCAATATCACCATCCTCTGCGTCTTCTACATTAAATTGATTCCCCTCCTCTTCAACTACTACAGGCAGCTCTTCATCATCACCAAATAGACCCTCGTCATCTTCATCATTCCCATTTTATTCTTGTTATTACTACATTTTTTCCAATTCCAATAGTCTCTACTTCATAAGTGCTCTTTTCTTTGCATCATGGACAACCACATCAGCATTTGAGGTTGAATCAAATACAGTGATTTCTTCAACATTGCACTTAAGCATGCCAGCCTAGGTGTCAATAATGATAGCTGCAGAATCAGCTGTCATGCCCCTGTATTAAAGTGAGCCTTTTCCTTAAGCTAAATTGCTCTTTTTAAACTCAGTCTCATTCGGATCATATTCTTTTTAAGCCCAATCTGGAACCTATAAATTGCTATTAATAAGAAATTGAGAAATGATAATTATATATTTTCTTACAATTCCAGCTCTGTAACGCTACTAAGTTACTCTTTACTTCTATTCTATGTATCCTCTTTTTGGATCACGATTTAGTATACTATGTGGATCGTTTGCTGACATTTCAACTTTATTATAAAAATAATTGATAATTTTAATATCTCAGATATATTGCCTGTGAGGGGTTTTGGGGTTTTGGGGTTTTGGGG